TCATAAACAGAAAATAAAAGATAAAACTGACATTTCAAATCTTATTCTTTATTCACAAAGATATACAGTTAGACCTGTGCCACAAAAGTTCTTTTTTTTCAGTAAATGTTGTTTTCAGTATTCAGTGAGTGCACATTTCAAGAGGAAAGCTGTGCCGACTGTTCATGTTTAAATGTTTTTGAAAAAAACATTGAACATCACTGTAATAACAGTAACACTTAATGTGCTGTGATCTTGCTGTTAGTGTCTCGACTTCAGTGAGAGTCACAGGATCCAGCAGCAGCAGAGCTACAAACAACAGGTTGGTACTCAAGGTGATAGCATGGGAGCTTCTGTTCCTATTAAAATATTTTTATTTAAAAGTTTTTATAAACGTCTGATAGGTGGCAATCTTTTTTTTAATCTATGTCTATTATTTTCATTATTTGCTTTTTTCTAAATAATGTGTTATTATTATCATTATCATCTTTTTTAAAAAGAAATTTCTTACAACTGTCTCATCAGCCGGTGTCCCTGTTTTTGCTGAACAACTGCTTCCTTTGGGTTCTTCTAAAAACAGATGGCAGGATGTTTTTGTAAAGCCTCTTCAGCTGCTTTAACCACTGTGTTTCTCTTTGGCACAGTAATAAATAGCAGAATCCTCTGGCCTCAAATTGGACAACCTCAAAGACACCATGCTGTTGCTGTCATCTCTGCTGATTTCTACACGTCCTCTCAAACTGCTTGCATAACTGTTTCTGCTGGAAGTTGAGAAGCCGCTCCCGATCAATTCCAGTCGTTTTTCTGCAGGTTCTCTGACCCAGATCATAACACAGCAATCAAAACTGAAGCCTGATCCTCTACAGGAGAGACTAAGAGTGTCTCCAGGCTTTTTCACTACTGGACTGGAAGGAATGGACTCCATGCTCTGACCTGTAACACCTGATGAGATGAAAGAAGAGAGGAACAAATGAGACACCTGGAAAGTTGTAATGGGGCCACAAATGAGTATGACTTGATGTTTTTTTGATATGAGAAAATTAAGAATCAAGACAACTTACAGGGCAGAGAGAGAACAATGAGCAGGGGAGTGAGTGTATTCATCATCCTGGTGGAGATGTGATTTCTGGTGCTCTATGCAATATAAAAGACCAGCACGGGATGAAGTTTTGCATCATGATATCAGAAAAGGGAGGGGCTCAAAAAGATAGTTATTCTTTAGTTTAATTATGTGCAGTGTAACGACAAAATGTGTTTTTTATTAGAGTTCATTAAAATTAAAACAACAGGAGTAGTAATGAAAGAGAAAGTTAATTTACATTTTTATTTGGCTTTGTTGTGAATAATACACATGAAATGGAATAAATGGTAAGCATACAGATTGCTAGCATTACTTGTGAAGTCTTAAGGATATATATGCTACATATGCATTACATACTTAAGATTTAAAGATAAAAAGAAAAACATCTGAATCAACATTAAAATGTAAATTTGGGTGAAAAAAGTTGATTTCATTTGTTTCACATGGCCAATTTAACCTGTACATTTATGTGATTGGTTGAGGTGTTTTATTTTCTGCAGTGTCGTTTAGTCTTTACTGTTTGAATGCATATAGAGTATGAGTAAATTTTTTGCACACTTCCATGTGTTTTAGATTTAAAACTCTAGGTTTTATCCCTTAGAAGAATAATCCATAATGACAGCTTGCAAAAAAGGGAAAATTATATCTTTATCCATAACTCATGAGGGATGTACAGTTGTAAAGCAATTAATTAAATTGGATAAAAAGCACAAACAAATTAAAGCCTGAAATAGAGGCTGGGTGTCAAATGCTGAATATCAAATCAGTATCAAATGAAGAGCTACAGAAAAGAATAGAACAGTCCTTTATTGTACATGCACAACAAAATTGTGCTCCACACCAACTATGCAGGTATAAAATATAAATAGTAAGATAGCAGGAATAAATAACAAACATGAGAGATATATACAAACAGCAGGAATATAGACAAAACAAGAGAAAGGCACACAATAGAAGACCAGGTTGCAAAGTCCCTGGGCCTCCAAAATAGCTGAGTGAAATATTTTTCATTTCATTTTTTTTAAAATCAAAAAAAGCATTAAATTGCATTCTTTTGCTTTGTTTGTAAACATGGACTCACCTGCTGAACTAAGTCTGAACTTGTAACTACTAAACTATGCAACACTTTCATATTTTTTATGCTTTCGAAGAAACATACAGCAATGTGGTTTACTTTGAGGGTTATGTATACCAGAATATGTTTTTGGTTGTTGAAGAAAAGAAGAGGGATTAAGAAAAGTAACCTTCCTCTGTGAGCAATGATGTTTATGAGAACTGGAATTAATAATCACCTTTGTTTCGAGATTATGTTTCAATGTTATGTATTGACTTATTATGCTGATCTAAAAATCATCAGTGGTCTGAGAGCTCCTCCTCTGGTGGTTTCATGTTAGAACTGTTCAGTGAGGGGTTTTTGTTCAGCTCTAGTGAAGGGTTGTGTTACTGTGGCTCTCTAGCACAGTAATACACAGCAGAGTCCTCTGGCTTTAGGTTGGAAAGTCTCAGATGCACCATGCTGTTGCTGTTGTCTCTGGTGATTTCTATACGTCCTTGCACACTGCTGGCATAAATGGTTTTACTTGCATCATACCAAATAACTCCCATCCATTCTAGTGTTTTTCCTGCTGGTTGTCTGATCCAGTGCATTCCATACTGGCCAAAGTCAAAACCAGACCCTCTACAGGAAAGACTGAAGGCTTCCTGAGGCTTTTTCAACACTGAAGTGGGGGGAATGGACTCCAAAGCCTGACCATTTAAACCTGGAAAGAACCAGTGAGATAAGTGAAACTGGGAGAAAAGAGTCACTTCATAAATTAACAGAAAAGAATAAATAAATAAATAAATAGATAAATTATTATTATTAATAATAATAATAATAATAATAATAATAATAATAATAATAATAAGTCAGTTATAAAATTATATGACTTACAGGGTAGGCAGAGCACTGTCACCAGAACAGAGAGTCTGAGCATCATCTTGAAAGTGAAGTTGTGAAGGAAGTGCTTCCCATTAGACAAGATGACAGCCAGGCCCTACGAGGACAGAAGTAAGCCATCTAAATTTTATTAGGGAGGGACTAAAATGTCAGGCTTAAATATTATTCAAATACATCTTTAAAAAAAGGTTAAAAAAAAAGGTTGAAGATGCGATGTAGTACACACACAGACACACACACACACACACAGACACACACGTACACACACAAACACATATAAAGCAGACAAAGACACATTTTTGATAAAGCATAACAGTGAGTTCAGTCTCGTGTTATCTTCTATTATGTTGGAAAAAATGCTATCTGGGACAGAAGTGAAGTTAAATGATTTAATTAACAATACGGGGTTGAAAAACAAAAAATAAAATGTTTTGCTTTTGTTGTTTAGTTTATTTTGTTATCCATGCATTAAATCTTTCAACTACTTGGGTCATCCAGCAAGAGGCAACGCACACCATGTGTAAGTAATCAGTCTGTGAAAAGCCTGTGTTTTAAGAATGAGAATAGACCAACAGAAGGATCGTTTAGACTTTTATGGTTATTCTATTAAACTTATTATGACTCATTTAATTACATGCTGTTGATTTGTAAGTGACATTTTATTTCTTATTATTGTGCTGATCTGAAATCATTGGTGGCCTGAGGGATCACCTTCTTGTGGCTTCGTGTGTTCAGTCACAGAGGGGTTTTTGTTCAGGTCTCATGATGCTTTGTGTTACTGTGGGTGGTTCTCTGGCACAGTAATACACAGCAGAGTCTTCAGGCTGCACATTCTGTCCAATCAGAGTCACGATCCTGTTGGAAGAGTCTA